GCGATGGAGCAAGAGTGTCCAATCTAGGCTGAGGGGTTTGATTTTAGCAAGATAGGAGGTGGGGTGGAGGAAGAGGCATCGCCATCAATGGTGGTGTTAACAACAAAGTGGGATTTGGATGAAAGAGGAAGGAAAGCCAATGAGGATGAAAGAACGCACAAAGGGATGTTCTTGGCATGAGGTGATGGTGAAGGATGGCAATAAGGATTTATAAAGAGGAGTCTATGAATCCTCGTTACCAGATTTTATGCAGTCATCGTTACCATTGGATTTGAATTACCATTGGATTACCAATGCAATTCAACCAAACGGGTCCTAAAGAAATTCTATTCTAGTATCCACAAAAGCATTCAATAAATGAGTCAGATCCTTTGCTTGATGATGTTGCACGTGATTTTCAATGATCATTGACAAAATGAATATGTTTTATAAGTGCCCAAATTTAAAGAGAAGTTGTAGCAAAGAAATAAAGATGAGTGAACATTCCATCACCTTGGAGCTGCTTAATCCTTGAAAAGATAGTCACATAGATGGCAACAACAACAACAAAATTCAACCATTCTTGAGACGACAAACAATAATGGTCCAACCAGTAAGGTTGAAATGGAATTAAATAAAAAATCGTTACTAGATTTTTGAAATTTATAAAAATATTTGGGCACACGATATAAAATTTATGATATTGGTATGATTTGCACTTTAAAATTTTATTTAATTCTTACCCACCAAAACATTTGTTTATATATTTGTCCGGCATTTGACTTCCAAAGCATACAAACTTGTATCAGATTCAGGTAGAAAACTACATTTTCAAGGAAAAAAATGAAAATTACTTTTGTTTATGCATATTTGCTTATGAGAAGATAAGGATCGATGAAGGCCTCAATAATTACATTATATATCACCATCAATGTCTGACCCACTTAGTTTTCATCTTTTTGGTTTTATTTCTGAAATTCATATTTTTCTTCAGCCATTTTCGTTCTTCAACATACTTCAGCATCTCGTTTTCAAAATTAGTATTTATATGATATTCCCTCCAAGGTTTTTTTTTATAAGATACTAACAGCCAAATTGCATAGTTTAATAAATATGTTAAAATTAGTTAAAAGTAATATGTATGTATGTATGTAAGAAATGCTTTTTCCCCGCTAAATATGTCCTCATCTGTAAGAGGATAGTAAGAAAAAAGATCAAAGAGAATATATGGGGAAAAAATATAATGAGAGGTAAGATAATTAATTAGAAATAACATTGGTAAAAATATATTTAATGTTTAGACAATTGCAAACTAAATTTTATAAAAAATAAACCAATTTAAAAATTAAAATCTTATAAATAAGAGTGGAGGACACAGGGGACTATAGTGTTTGGATGATATCTGTTCATGTTTCAAAACAAAATTGAAGTGAGGCCAACACGCACTCACATGCACAAGATTAAATTTTTAATTAATTAATTAGCTTGTACCTTAACTTATTTAGATCATATTTTAATTTTATTTTCGCCCAAACCAAAATGGACCCTAAAATTTTTTTCAAGAAAGGTGGGAGTTGATGCCAACAAACACCACCAACGTATAGGGGAAAAAATTTGCAGCAAGGGGCCCTAAAAAACAAGTTTGCATGCATATGGACTTTATTTTCTTTGTATCAAATGTAGATTCGCTTGTATCCATAAAAGCTGGCCTCCTCACTTTCAAGATTCAGCCTCTAAAGGGTCGCTTTGGTAGGAGAAAAATGAAAGGAAGGAGAGGAGGAAAAAAAATTTAATAAGCTTAATTCAAAAAATTAAGAAAATGATGTTTAAAAGCTTTTAATTAATTTTATTACTCATTTATCTTATATCTTCTCTGATTAAAATTTAAAAACTCTATTTTTTCAATTTTTAAACTGAACTAATTAAAAAAAAATTTTCTTTCTCCCCCTTCCATTTCTCCCGTACCAAATACAGAATAAGGATATTTGTCTTCTTGTTTTCGGTTTGCCTCAGTAGTGGTGTCTGCTGGTGTTGTTCTTTCACTTCTGTTCTTTTTTGTTTAAGTGTCTATGTTTTGATCTTGTACCTTAACTTATTTAGATTCACTTGTATTCAATATGGTTTAGCGGTCTCCAATTTTTTCCTGGAAAAATCTGTGAAAAGCTGCACTTAAAAATTTTATTAATTAGAAAGACCTGAATTTGAGTGCTAATACTTTCTGTGTATGAAATCATGTAGAGTACCAATATTTTTTTTGTCTGTTAATATAATTTTCAAATAGGAACTTTTCACCAATTTTTGCTTATTTTTCTATATTTCAACTTAGTTCTTTTGTAATTGCTTTCATGGAATTAATAACATGATGTCTACTCCCAGCCCACTGATTTTCATTTTTTTTTTCTAATTTTTTCTTTTGTCTTTCATTTTCTATGTGTACATGCATAACTTAACTTTTTTATTGCATCAAAAGTATGGAATGCATTTTTTTTTCATTTTATAAATAGAAAGCGTAAATGTTTAAAATAGAAACGCAATCCCTTAATGTAATAAGACATTATTCAAATGAGAATGACAATGTAAATAGAAATACAATGTATCTTTTATATTATAACTATTATAACTAAAGTGAATCTTACCCATTTGAACATAAAATGAATTGTATTTTTCATTATTTGAGAATAACGTAAATTTTTTAATATATTTTATGTTTATCTTTGATTTTTGTTGATGATTTTTGGGAAATTCGGTAAAAAAATCTCTTGTTGAAAACTTAAAAATTTGAACACGTATAACTATGATAGTGAATACAACTTTTTTCTGTTATGTGCAACATATTTTTTGTTGGGTGCAAATGACTTCTGCATTGATGATTATTGCACATAATTAATGATATGTTACACGTAACGGGAAAAAAGTTATGTTCATGGATCATAATTGCATTTGCTTAAATTTAAACCCTTTTAGCCAATTAACTTTTTAAATAGGGACTTTTAACCAAATTTCTCATGATTTTTTTTATAGTAAAGATTGATTTAGCATGTGCATATATATAAATATATATATATATATATATCATATTTTGAAAAGAAGAGATTTCCCAAATTCTAATATTATACTCCACTGATCCTAAATATAAGACTCATTTTGTATTACAAAATGAGTCTTATATTTAAGACCAAAGGAGTATAATATATGATAGGCATTTATTAAACAAAGTGTATATGTGAATGCATCTTTCACAAAGGACAAACAAATGAGTCTTATATTTAGGACCAAAGGAGTATAATATATGATAGACATTTATTAAACAAAGTGTACATGTGAATGCATCTTTCACAAAGGACAAACATTTCCTTTACTTGTCAAAGACCAAATTTATGGCATTGTGGCAAAAAAAAGGGGGTAATTTTTCACCATATATATAATTTTTTTATATAATACATGTCATTGAATATAAATAGACAAAATTTTACTAATAACATTCAATATAAAATATAAATCCTATTACAAAGTACATTATTTGTAAATTATAAATAATTCACTTATCAAATTCATATAATATACGAATTTTATATATAATGTATGAAAAATAATTTTAAGTGTCAAAATTTAAAAAAGCAGAGCATTTATTTAAAAAGAGAAAAGCTCGAGATTTTGGACAATTTTTTTTAGACAAAACCCTTTAGAATGCTCTAAGAGGTCAGAATCTTATAATCATATCAGACTAGGATTTGATATTAAAATGGTTAAGCCTGTCCAATGTCAAATCTCCATCGATATTCTTTCCAAATCCACAGCCTAAAAAATTATTATCAATATAATTAAATTAAAAATTTTGAAAATCCTCTAGAAATTTTTTGACCTTTATAAATCCACTAGATTGCAGTCAATCTATAAAAATAACACAATCATAATATTCCTGTACATAATTATACAATTCATTGACTTTTCTTTTGGCCTGAAAATTCATTGATTATGAATAATGCCATTTTACTATTATCTAAATAGATATATAAATAAACCTTTTTCACCTTCAAAAAATTGTTAAAAAAAATCCCTCACTGCTCAAAGATATCTAAAATTTATTTAACAACCTATATTTTTGAGCATGCACAATTTAAAACAAGTGCAACTCCTTCTTTTTTAACATATTTTCAATTATATGCAAATATTTTTCATTTTAAAAACTTTCATATATAGCTGAAAATAAATTGCACATGGAAAAATAAGAGTTGTACTCACTAAAACTGGTTGCACACGTCCTACCTCAAGGGTAAAACAAAGGACATTTATATACAATTGAAGGTATATTATACTTCTTTCGGTTCATCATATAAGTCGCTTCTAAAAAAATAATTTGATCCAAAATATAAATTACTTAGAGAGTATTTAATGCTTAGTATTTAATTTTGTTCCTACAATTAATGCTTAAATATAGCTCGCTATATTTTTATTCTCCTTTACAACCTTATTTAATATGACTAAGGTTGGAAAATTTTTTTAATTTAGAACAAATTTAATGAGTTAACTATAATTTTTTAGTATTGATGAATTGGTTAAAATAACTTATATTATCAACGAAAGAGAATATGCAATTAAAAGAGAGTTGCACTAGTTTCAAAATTACGATTCTTTAAAGAAAATTTGGGCACTTCTAAAAAGTAAATAATTTAATAAAAGATTTTCCAACAATTTTCTAAAAAAGCTGTGATCTATGAGATATTTGTAATGTAATAGTTTTCATATTTTATATTTAAGCCTTTTTTTTGAGGTGATTATATTGAAGCTTATAAAATATTTCTTTTGACCAAAAAAAAAAAGCTGATAAAATATTTATTACCAAAATTTTGTCTCATGCCCCTCTCGCGCTGATTGGTCCCCAAAAATTCCAAGAAATTAAATGACACACTCAATCGCTCACCACCTACACCTACTGCATGCGCTTTAGGTGTCTCTCTACAAAACGCCTCTCTCTCTTCTCCTCTCCCTCCTTCATTCTCATTCTCTTCCATCCATCTTTCACAGAGGAACCCGCTGTGTCTTCGTCTTCAAGCGAAAACCCATATTTGGGTCATTTTAGTGTTGTGGGGTTATTGATATTCTTAATCCTTTCATTTGATAATAATGGGAAGAAAGAGGAGTTCGCCTGTGAGCGTTTTGTTTGGATGGGTAAGGAAGCAATCTATGAAAGTCAAAATCTTTCTTGGGGTATTTCTTGCTCTCTGTGCTTTGGTGGCTCTCAAGTTTACGATCAAGGATCACAATTATTTCTTTATTTCCTCCGAAGCCGTTCACCTTGCTGGGATTCTTGTCCTGTTTTACAAGCTTCTTACCCAGAAGACATGCTCCGGTATTTCTCTCAAAGATTAGTTCTTTTCTGCGCAAATTTTTGTTCTGTTTGTGAGTTTCATGTAGACTGATTGATCGGGAAGGAAGAGAAAACTATAATTGATCGACATGACAAGAATTTCTTCATTGTGTATTGATGAATCGTACTAAGTCTTTTAATTTTGCTGGAGGAAGGGCTGATGATATTACAAGAAATTCTTTACAATACTCCTTGCACCACGATTATGTGAATTTTGATTGGAGGAAGAGCTGAAGGACGTTGGTCAATTTATATGGGATTTGTTTTCTCTGTAAGAAGTAGATGTTGAAAGTGTTCCAGTTTTTGATAACTTTCATTCAATGGAATTGGATAAAAATGAACTTTTGCAGATATATTCCCTGGTTTTGGTCAGCTGTTTTCCGTAGCAATGCAGGTGTCAATTATAAAGTATTTTAAAGCAAAACTTGATGCCCAATTCTATTCGATTTCTTTATTTCTTTCTGTCTTCTGTCTAAATAAAATTTCAAGAAGCTATGCTGCATGTTTCATGAAAGCAAGACCATCAAATCCCACCATTCTTCATGGTTGAGAAGTGAAGGACTTCATAGTAGCTAATTTGTATGTTTCAATAGTCCAGTGAATAATACAAATTAGAAAATTTTATCAAATTTGTATTGCCTTGCCCAGGTCTATCACTGAAGATGCAGGAGCTCACAGCTCTGTTCTTATCTGCGCGATTAATTTGCAGCTTCTTGATGGAGCATGACATCCACACCGTGCTGGATTTCATCTCTCTGTCGTTAACATTACTGGTCATATACTGGATCAGGTTCAAGTTGAAATCATCCTATATCAAGGAGCTTGACGACTTGAGGCTCTCATTTGTGGTAAATATAGTCTTTGCATTTCTTCTTCTTAATTTCATTTGGCACCCTAAAGATAACCCCACTATCAGTTGACTTTAATACTTGAAAGTTTTTTTTTTTTTTTCCAACGTATAGCATATTTATTCATTCAAACACTGTATAGGATCATTTTAGTTTCTCTGGAAGACTCGAATCAGAACAAAATCAGACCTCCAAATGTTGAATTTTGTCCCGTTCCAAGTTTAATATATATATAATATGACTTGAAATTTTTGTGTCACTTTGAGTTTGGTGACTTCTTATAAGCCCGATACTGCCTTCAAGATCACTAGCAACGCAGAACTTGTAATTTTATGGCAATATTATTTTGTGCTATACTAAATTCAGCTTCTTGGGTAACTTCTCCCAACATGATTTTTCCCCGACCACAACGTTCGAATACGAGAAGTTGTTCAAGGAATATTGAGTCCTTTACCAGTCAATCCAATCACAATTTGTATAGAGGATTTATTATTATCTCACCACTGTATATCACTAAATTTGTTGATCTCTTCCATTTTTGCATTTGTTCCTCCTTGCCCTTCTCTTGTAGCTGGGAAAATTACTCTCTGATAGCAATACTTTCAGACGCCTTGGCTGGTTTTACACCAACTCTCATCACTAATCAATACCTTCAATCAAATGTTTCAAAAGCTCTTTTCTGGTTTAAGTTTTCTTTCTTCTCACTGCATTCTCCAAAAGATTATACATTGCCCCTTTGACTGGTCTGTGTTGATTTTGCTGGAATGAACTATGTCGTGTCCTTGGTGATACACTGTTAGTATTATGATTTTGCTATGTACCTAGGTGGTGCCTGCAGCAATCCTTGCAGCATTGATCAATCCCACCACAAAACATCATAAATTGAGTAATGTCCTTTGGGCATTTTGTGTGTATTTGGAGGCTGTTTCTGTACTGCCTCAAGTTCGCTTCATGCAGAATGCAAAGGTTGGTTCTTCTTCTTCTTCTTCTTCTTTTTTTTTTTTGCTGCTAAAAATTTTCACATTGTTTTTCTGAGCGAGATCATAACTCTGGTATGTTCCCAGATCGTTGAAACATTTACAGGGTATTATGTCTTCGCACTGGGTGTTTCGAGATTCTTGGCTTTGGCTCATTGGATCATTCGGGTGAGACCTTTCTCTTATTAGATTTTTGGCTAAATTGAGAAGAATTCTTGACATTCAAGCTTAGGTTAAGGTCTAATTTTGTCCTGAAAGTTTTCACAGAGTATCCGTAAGTTTTGTTTTGTTTTTTTTTTTTAATATCAATATTGCCCAGGAAGTTTTAAAAGAGGGGCAATATTGCTCTTAGCTGTTAAAAAATGTTAAATGGTTAACATTGGGGGTGACTTTGCTTCTGTTTTAACAATTCCAGGTGATATTAATCCAAAAAAGAAACCTTCTGGGGCTGTGGTTATCCAAATTTAATCTTTTTAAAACTTCCAAATTTATGTAGATAACAATCCAATTGTTAATTAGTCTACTATTTCTAGGGGGACAAAAAGATTTTTCGGAAATGAAAGAAAAATATTCTAATAAGCAAATTTACATGAAAAATTTGTTCATTAATGTTTACTTCATATTTTAGTTGGAGCTATGGCCAAAATAGACTGAATCAGTTTCATCTGGTCTGCAAAATGGAGAAAGCCTATTCGGTTTCCATTTTATTCCTTGACAAACAAGTAAAAACACACTTTTAAAGGGAATCCACCTCTGTACGCTCACACATCTATTTATCAATCTCTCATATCGATCATAACTTAAATTTTTCTCATCCTCAAACTTCATTTTACCCTTTAATATTCCATTTTCTCTCTGTTTTTTATTTATTTATTATTCATTAGAGCTCTAAATAGGCCATAAGGAAATATCATCTGTCTGAAAATATTCTGCTCTCTTGAGTTGGAATTGAGCAATATGAAGAAGCATGCTTGTGAATATTGTGCAGTTCTATGAGACTGGAGGGGCGTATTTATTTTTGGTAGGGAGTGGATATTTCTGGTTCATGGCAGCCTTCCTCTCAGAAATGGTTCAGTCATTCATCTTGGCTGATTTCTGCTACTATTATGTCAAGAGGTAAAGACCATCTCTTTATTGTGGGACCCATGTCAAAGATGAGCCATACTGTTCATAATTTATAAACAATGCGGCTTCCTTTATATTCATTTACTAATATATAAGATGTTCCATTCATGGATTTATTTTGGGCGCAGCATCATGCAAGGACAGCTTTTGAGGAAGATGCCTGTGTAGTGCAATTATCTCCCAAGCGACATTGTAAATGAATGTCCAGTGCTAGAAAGTTAAAGCATACAGTGACTTTAAGGCCGATTGTTTGGTTTGTCATTTTATATTTGATTTTCAAATCTCTCATGTTTTTTAGCTTTCAAGGTGTTCAACTTTACAATGACATTTTATATTTTTGAAAAAAAACTAATCTTTTAGTCTCTTAAGTTTTAATTCACTTAAGATTCGGTCATTTAATTACGACTCACTGTGACTAAGTTCTTGAACTTTGAACTTGTTAAAAACTCAATCCCTAATTTTTTTTTCCTTTAATAATTTTGTCATTGTTATCTATAACTCATTCGAAGTCATCATTGACACAAACCTACTTGGTCAAAAAACACCATTAAAAATTATTTTGGGTAAATGTGTGATTAGAATCCTGATCTTTTTTTTTTAAGTGTACCTAGCACTCTAATATTCATAATAGTGCAATTTTACTCATAATTTATTAAATTCAGTGCAATTTCATCCATTTTTTAGGTTTATGATGTGATTGTAATTTGGCTACTATGTATGAAAATTTTAAGTAATTTGATAAAAGGAACAAAAATTGTAAATTGTAACCATTAAGGTGAATAAAAAGGAAAAAGTGAATTTAAATAAATAAAGAAATACCAAGATTACTACAAATTTTAAAAATATCGATAAAATTATATAATAAAAAAAGATTAGAATGTTAGATGCACTTGAAAAATAAAATTGGATACTGTGTGTTACTTTACCCAATTATTTTTAATAAGGCAGAAAGTTTCGAATATAACTATGAGTTTATAATTGTGATTTTTGTTTGGAATTGTAGGAATTGATATTTGCATATTATTTAAAAAAATTAATTGAGAAACTAATAGTCATTAAACCCATCTTTTAACACTTAAATAGTAGCCCGTCCCTTAATATAAAAACTAAATAACTTATTTAATAATATTAAGAAAATTGTTAAGCTATTTATTTGTAACAAGTATATGTTGATTTTCTTACACTATTCCTCTTTAATCACATATATTGGGACCATCTTTTGGTAGGAATATCTTACAATCAACAAAAATATTTTTAAAAAAAATTGTAAATTTAAAAATCAAAATGAGTCAAGATCTTATATTTATAAGTTAGAATCAAATTCAATTACCAACAAGTTTTTATATTAATATTAATAACGTGGGGTGGCATTCAAAATCATTCCCTCAGAATCAACGTGTACAAACTCCTACTTCATTAATGTTATCTTTGGCATGGCTATTTAGGGGAAAAAACAATAAAATATCTTAGAAATTGCTAAATTATAAATCAATATGGGTGAATTTTAAAATTTCAAATCATATCTCTTGTACTATTTCAAAATTTATAGATATTATGAAATGACACAAATGCCCTTCATTATTTTTTTAAAATATTGTCACATCAACACCCTTAACCAGTTTTCAACCGTGGGGGCTCTGCACCGATAACCCGTCCGTTAGTCGGAATTCTGGTGATTGGCCTTTGGAGCTCTGGTGACTATTTTTTCTTATGTATTAACTATTCTTTTTTTAGTTACTTATAACTTTTGTTTTTAGAACTCTTGATAACCACTCTTGTTTAACTATTAATTATTCTAATATTGTGATTAACTATTTTTAAAAAATGTGACTACTCTTATTTAGTTATTAATTATTCTAATTTCGCAATTTACTACTTTTGTTTTAAAGATTCAAAGAATGCATTTAGTGTTATAACAAATCTATTAACTATTTTTATTTAGTTATTTACTACTTTTGTGTGGTTAATAGTTATTATGCTTGTTGTTTTTATGTTAAAAAAAAAAAAATAGTCATCAGAACTTTAAAGACAAAAGTAACACTATTTAAAAATTTTAAAATAGTACAATAGATTTGATTTGGGATTTTGAAATTCATCCACCCTCATTTATCTTTTAATATTTTTTAGGGTATTTTATTATCTTTTTTTTCAAATATTTTAGAAAGGAAAAAGAAAAGGTGATCATATGCATGTTTATTACGTAGAAAAGGGATTTTCTGAAAACTTATTACTTTAATTAAAAGAATCCCTTCAAGGCTAGTAGGTTTCTTTCCCTTGCATTAAAAAAGTAATGGGAAAATTAGAGGGAAGAAACAATTGAAAATTATATTTATTAAAATGGATCATAAAAATTATAACTATTTGAAAGCACAAAATACTGAAACACAAATTTAAAGGTATTTAATTGCCTCTTACCAAATATTCTAACTGTCCTCTTATCTTTATTTTGTTTTTTAAAAAAAAGGTAAAACTAAAAGTAAAACCACCCGTTATCCTATGATCATATAATTTGTTTTTAACTCTCTTTTTTAAATCAATATTTGTATTCACCATATCATTAATATATCGCTTAATAATTAATATAAGTATTTATTAATTTATATCATCATTAAATTACTTTTTGGCTAATATATAATATTTTATATTACTAACATTACATTACTAAAATAAAACTAAATTTTAGGAACTAAAGATAATATTAATCCATAAATTTAAAAATCACCACACGTCCATGAATAAATAAATAAATGGAAAAATTACTATGGTGTGCCAAGCAAAGAATATAATCTTAAAAAATCTTAATAACAAGTAATCAACATGAATTTTATTGTTATTTCTTACATAATAATTTGTGATTAATTTGTCATGGAGAACCCATTAAAAAGGAAAGAAGTAATTCCTCTCCTAAGTGGGAGCTTTTCTCTCTCCACGTGAGAGTTTGTTATGGCGGTTATCGTCGCTTTTGCTTGTGGCTTCTGAGTCTGTCGTGTGTTGTGACGGTGAGAGAGGTGTTCTGAGAGGGCTTCGTCACCCACTGCAACGTAGTGAAGAAAGAGTGGTTCCTCTATTATTCATTGTAACAGAGGATTAGTAAGGATAGAATTTATGGAGGTACAGGGATAGTGCAGGAACGGAGGCTGGTGAGAAGTGTCACGATGAATGTATAAGGAAGAATGCTAGTGAATTGGCAGTAGACCTTATCTGGAAGAAGAAAAAGGACCGCGACTTCAATGGCAGTGCTCTTGTCAGGAAGATTATCTCAGAAAAGAATCTAAATCCTACGACTACTGTTCAGATAATTCGAAAAAGATGGAATCTTCAAAAAAACGAGGATCTCGAGATAGCTGAAGTAGATCGTAAGGTGTTCATTTTTTAATTTCGCAGAAAAGAAGATTACGAGAGGATCCTAAGAGGTCGTCCTTGGTCGATCAATGGCCTATTATTGAACATCCAGTGTTGGGACGAAGAGATGATATTCAGTGAAGTGGATTTTGATTTTTGTCCTTTTTGGATTCAATTCCATGATCTGCCTCTTGCAGCGATGGATGTTAAGAATGCTATGAAGTTAGGGAGCTTAATTGGCGAAGTAGTAATGGTTGAGGATCCAAGGGCAGATTACTTACTAATAAGAAGCTTCTTACGAGTGAGGATACTGGTGGATCTAAGGAAACCATTGGTGATAGGAATATAGGCTCCTAGAATAAAGAGAGATCCTATCTGGATCAAGGCTTGCTATGAGAGACTAAAGAATTTCTGTTTTGCTTGTGGCAGAATTGGGCATGATTTGAGGAATTGTGGTTTTTCAAAGGAGAATGATGGTAGTGTTTCAGCTGAGTATGGATCATGGTTGAGTACTCTGGTTGCTCGAAGAAATGTTGAGACAATTAGACTACTTAAGGCTAATTGGGAGGAAGCTGAGGGTCATAAACATTTCTCTGAAAATCAGGTGAAAGAGATACCAAAATTGACTAAGCAGCCTACCATAAGCAATGATGACATAGTAGTAGCTAAGGAAGCGGATCTGACAAATAATCAACAAAGCTACAACTTTAAGCATCCTATAAAAGTGTTGAATGAGAATGCTCTGAGTAAAATGAGTTGTACCAACTGTGATTGAAGGCAGAAACGTTGAAGAAAAGAGTAAGAATGAAGCTGATGAGAGCATCTCAGGTGACCTAAGGAGCCGCAGAAAGATTAAAATAAAGAGAGTTAGTAATTTAGTGGCTAAGGAGAACCTTTCCCCTATTGCCACGAATGAAGATCTATCAAAAGCTCTGGTTGTTTTTGGTAGTATTTCACCAATGGCTGAAGTCACTCGCAGATTAAAAAACTTTGGCTTGAAGAGAAGATATGGTAAAACAGAAGAAGTTGATAATAGGAAAAAGAAAAAGAAAAATATGTTTTGTAGAAGTGGTGGAATCGTAGAAACACATCAATGATCCTATTAAGAAGAAGGAAGTGAGGAGGAGTATTCGGGCTGTCAGAAGAAGCATGAGACAAAGTAGAGAAAAGGGAGAATGCCTAGTGTTAAATGGTGACTTTTCTTCCTAGTTGATTGAGAGGAAAGCTACTTCTTGCCCTACTGATGGTTCTGGTGACTGGCCACAATCACTCACTAAGGGGCCATGATCTTTATATCTTGGAACTGCTAAGGATTTGGTGCTCCCCAGGCAGTAAAGAACCTAAAGGGGGTTTGCCTCAAACATAGACCTTCTTTAGTGTTCCTTATGGAAACTAAGAAGCACCAAAATTATATGAGAAAAGTTAGAAAGAAATCAGGAGTTCATAATGAGCTATTTGTGGATTCTAGAGGTAGAAGTGGTGGGTTGGCAGTTTGGTGGAAGGTTGAAGTGTAGCTTGATTTAATATCGAGCAGTCCAAATATTATTCATGCTAGAATGTCTTGTTCAAATGATAAGGTACCTGAATTCCTCACGCTTGTATATGGACCTCGAAAAGAAACTAAGAGATGCCGGGTATGGAATAGATTGAGAAGTTTGGCACCTTTTGTAAATGGTTCTTGGCTTTGTGCTAGGGACTTTAATGAAGTTTTGAACCAGAGTGAGAAATTGGGGGGAAATCTAAGGGCTTCCAGGAAAATTCTGAGATTTCACAAGATGATTAGTGATTGTGAATTTATGGATCTGGACTTCAAAGGTTCAAGGTTCACTTGGGTGAATGGCATAATGGGAGAAAATCATATTAAAGAAAGGATAGACAGGGTTTTTGGAAACGGTGTTATGAGAGAGAAATTTCCAAAAGCTATGGTTTTTCATTGTGAGCCTGTGGGATTTGATTGTCACTCATTTGTGGTGAACCTGGATTACTGGCAGGATAAAAATCCCAGATTATTCAGGTTTGAGCCGTATTGGTGTGAGCATGAGGAATATGATGGGGTGGTTAATAGAAGCTAGAGGTCTGATAAGTT